AAAAAAAAAAAAACAATCGGCAAACCTTTGTTGAGATGCTTGTATATATCCTTGATTATCTTGATGCCACATTTTGTAAACCAATACAATAACGGCTGAAATATCGGGCTAAAGAACGATCTAAATGACGGCAAATGGAAATGGGTCAACGGTGAATCCTTGACGATATCGTACTGGGCTCCTAACGAACCTGATGATGATGGGAAGTACGCCATGATGTCTGGCACGCACAAGGAGGGGTCCCCTGGGGCTTTTACAGCAACGGATGGTAAAAGCAAATATGGCATCATATGTGAATATAAGTCAGGTAACGCTGAGATATTGTTTTTACTATTAAATCGAAAAGGAAAAAAGGCTAAAAAACTGCGCAACAAAAGAGAGTTTTCTCGGAGCTTTAAGTGATTTACTTTCACTTTATTTTCTTGCCTAAAATATGATGATATAAAATGACGACATCACCTTAACAATTCCTCTTCTGCACGTTACGTCGTCGCAGCCATGTTAGTGATGTTCAACAATAGATTTGTTTATACCACCAACATGGCCGTCATTTCCGGTTGTTATTTGGATCTTGGGAATAGATGCAAACCATCACTATGGTTACGCCATTATCGGCTATAAGTAGAAGCATGACATCATAATTAACATTGCTGATTATCACGTCATAATAACTGTATTCATAACATATCATTATACATTTTACTAAGTATCTCAATTCTGATTGGTCGAGAGCCCTCAGCCAATCCTTGATATCATGTGAACTCGACATGATAAATGCATTATCTGTAGGTTTTCCTACAGATAATACATTTATCATGTCAAGTTCATTCAAGCTCACGCTGTGGTAGCTTTGTTTTTATTTATTATGTGTATTTATTTCCACAATTTGTACAAAAACAATTATTTAAGGAATCCTTAACTTATTTTCATATATTTTATGAAGAATTTTTAAAAAATTTAACTAGACTAGCTAGCGGACTTCAAGTCCATCAGTGAGAATCAGACGTCCCTTGCCTTTGATCAGCAACGTTGTTTCAGGGTTCGATCAGTAAGTAGGCTTTGGCCACATACATGCACGACAGCGGTTACTTGCAAGAGCAGTTCGGATTTACAATCAAGTGAAATTCCAAGCGGAGTCTTTTTCTCAGTAGGAACTTTAAGATACGCCGACTACGGACTGTAAAATGTCGCTTAATATCCCTAAAAGAAAAGCATGAGTTCGACACGGAAAAGAAGATACAGCACACTAACAGTTGTTCTAATCGAATGGAATTCTCATACTACTTTTGAAGATTGACAAGATCTTCGAAAAACCAGGACCTATTGTTTCGCTTTATTAAGGGGATATTAAAATCGTGCAATTTAGGCTGAAATCACTGCTGCATGGAACCAATCAGATTGCAGGATTTGCTTGTGATTTCAAAATGGATGTAATAACTAACCGCGAGATGAGAGCAACCCACATCAGGACTGATGAATCCACATCAGGCTATGGTCCATCCAAATTTCAAAAAGGTTATTTCGTTAGGTAAGCTTAACGGTAAACCAGGTTTGAGTACTGTTAATCACTGACCCAAGGCGGATCCGGTAGTCCTCACAGTTAATACATTAGACAACCTGTTGTCGTATGTTCTTGCCGACTTAACTGCTTTCATGAGGTGATGTACATTGACACTTAAAACCTTTTTTCCCCACTTATTAACAATAACAAACCTTTTTTTTTCTTTTCAGTTTAAATTTTGTAAGGTAAGAATTCTTCGAAATAGAAGTACTCATTTCAGAACATCATTTGGCAAGTTAGTATGGCTGAACCTCATTAATACAACTATTTTGGCAGTTCCGTTATGACTTTATTTTTATTTTTTCTTCCTGAAAAATATCTTTAAAAAAAATTAGAGAGCTTAAAAGCTTTGCTGGGTTGGCTATTATGTATGATTTTATTTTTATTTTTCTTAGTTCTAGACTCTTGTCGAGACAATGTTCTTGTCTCGGAGCTATTTTGGGGTCATTGTGCTCTTAACCTGTCTTTATCAAATTGCACTATCTGGTAAGTACAGGCACTCACTACCATTTACGTCCAGTTTCAACATTCTGGCTCGCATAAAAAAAACTATTTACTTAATGTTTCTTTTTATATGGTTTTGGTTTTGATTTACTCTGTTTGAAGTCTCTATATATTTCTGGCTTTTATGACTGATTGGTTGATTAGGACATTGTTATATTTCCTTTATAGATCATCATTCAACAATGGTCGCAAAAAGAGACGCCTCGTGTGGAGCAGGACTCAGTAATTAATTATTACCATTATCAAGGCCACGTTAATTGATATATGAATTAGAAAATTGGGACTTAGCAGTGGCTTTGTTTTTTGTATTTTTTTGTTTTTGTTTTTGTTTTTGTTTTTTTTTTTTCTCCCTCCACAATAATCAACCTCTAAATTCTAATTCGTTCTATCGGCTGCCTTATCAATTGGGTTACAACACCTTTTAATCATTAAGCCGTCCACCCAGAAGTGGTAAATGCATTAGATTTAGATTTAGGATCTTCTTAGAGGAAAACCGTGGCAAATCTTGTAGTATAGAAGAGGAAGAACAAGCAACACAACTGGCTTTTTCCCACAATTCCCCGATGCTGCCCTCGTACTATTTTTTGTCAGTGTAACTACCAATTCTAATCCCCCCTTTTTTTCAGCCTGTGGTCCCGACTGCCAGGCTCTTTGTGTTGCAATGCACAATTACTATCGAAAACTGCACGATGCACCTCCC